TCAATCGGGCGCGCGGGAATGGAAACTAGTTAAAGTTTAGGGGGCCGCGCAAAATTGACCAATCACACCCCGCGTAGGAACTGAGAGATACTGATAAAAAATAGGAACTCATTGTATACATGCGGGTAGTGCTGTGCACGCGCTGCGGACCTGTTTGTTTACGGACACCTGCACTCACTCACTCACTCACTCACTCACATACCTGGCGACAAAGTGGGTAGGGCACTATACAGTGCACACACTAATATAAGCGCAATCCATAAAAAAATGAGAGGCATGAAATAAAGGTTGTTATAAAAAAATTGGATTGGACAACTGAATGAAGAGATAAGTAACGAAATGTCCTTCATCAACCTTACTTATTTCTCTCTGTCGTTTAAACAAATGATTCTTTCATATAATCTCAAGTCATCAGAATGAATAGACTAAAAATAATTCATTGGAGACAGTTTTTGTTTGGTAGAACATCAAGTAGTTGGTTGCTTACCTGAGCCCACAGGGACGAGCTGTTTTGAAAGCTCAAATATCTTCATGGATTGGATTAAATTTATTCCTTTTTCCAGTGCGGGTGCCTTCCTCAGCTCCTTGCAGTGACCAGAAACAACTTCCGGGATGGTGCAAAGATTACCCGTCCTTCGCCAACCTAAACCTAACTTGGCACGATGAACCGGACAGATAGTCATATCCGATAAATTCGCCGGCTTTTGAAAACATCCACACCTCGCCAAAATTAATTCTACCTCCGTTTCAATTCCGGAAAATTTCAACGACTTTTTGTGATTTTTGATATCCCTGTTACACCGCGTGAGAGGCGTGACGGAAGTTGAAGAACTTGTGCGTTCGTCTGCGCCGCAAATCCCACCAACAATATTCAAGAACGAGCAAGACATCGCTGTTCCATGAAGTTCCCCGACAATAAACTCTGGTTTTAGATGCAATGTTTCACAGATAAAGATAATTCGATTTATTTATTTAAAGAACGATGCAATTTTCGTGAGAACAGGTACTTCTGATTGGCTATCGACGGCATAAAGCTTCTCATTCTTATCAATTCTTATCGTTTCAGTTTGAATTGCTATTATGATATTTTCTTTTATTTTTACTTCAGCAAGTTAACTGGGGAACCTGGCACATCGTTGAGTAAGATATTTTAAAATAAGACTTATTGTAAATTAACAGATGTAAATATCTGTTTGTTACTGTACTAATTGTAGCGAAGTCGCTCGTGCGTGACACAGATTAGGGAGCGAGCCTGTGAGATTTAATTTCAGCTCGTGGTAATTTTGGTGTTTCATAGTTTGTTTTACTTGTGTAGACAATATTTAACATCAATCTATATTTTTAAAAGGTTCAAACCGCTAAGAAAGTAAAACCCTCATGTTTTATGTACAAACTTTGGCCGAGGAATTAATTTATTCAATAGTGCATTGTTATGTAGAGTTGTAGATTTCAAAGGCGCTCAATTGGAATTTTATCGAATTTTGATCGGCGTTCATGCAAAAGTGCTACTAGATCCTAAAGATTTAAAACCATAGACCTTAAAATCAATGACTGAACTGTCTTTGGTTATGATATCAGAAGATTTGAAGAACTACCGGTCAGCTTTTTTCGTCGCTGAGTTTGGATTATTTTACACCTTCGCGTAAATGAGAAAAGTGTGTCTTCTTGATCGGGTCTCAGTTCGCTCACAAATAAGCAGAGATAAAAATAATTCCCATGATTTGACTAAGGAAGAATCAATGTATTCAATTATACTTAAGAAAGATTCACAGCTATGTAAACGTCTGTGTAGCGAGAAGCTGAAAAGTGTGAAATTTCGAGTTTCCGCCAGGTGAAATCCGAGAAATCCGAAATCCGGTAGGGTGACCGTTTTTCGTGGTTTTCTGCCGTTATATGGAATATTTCAAAAAACTAACCTCATATCCTTCAGTTACTTACCTAGGCCTTCAAACTGACAAAGTATGAGCGAAATCGATTTTTTGACCGTGGCCACGATTTCTTTGATTTTTACTGACAATCACTCTTAACAGCATTAGAAGCTCATCACATGAATTATGCCGTCAAAGTCTAAATTATGACGTAGGCCAATATTAAGGAAAATAAAAGTAACATAACTTAGTTCGAAGAAGGAGAAATAACAACGCTTCCGAAAGCTTAACAGGCCTACTTACGTCGTGTTGTCCCATTCACCGTTCACCAGAAATTAGCCCTTCGCGATGTAATGCTATCGTAGATTCAAGATAACAAACTGAAGATCGTTTTAAATTGGTTTTCAAAATTAACTAGCTTGCAATGATCACCCTGGGCGATTATGGGTAATTACCGTAGAGAACACGCCCCTGATCAGTTAGCCTTGGCTGTTCCAGTGTATCGGGTTTCAGATCGCTCTAACGCTCTGTCAATTTCGAGCTAGTCAACGCTTTCCCGCCCACACTACCCTTACAGGTTTAGTTTATTGATCTCTAGTGCCAGCGTCTCGATCGTTCTGTTGGTCAATAAACTATGTTGGCCAAATATTGTAGTCTGTGTTTGATACTACTAATAATTTAACTAATTGATTGGGTTCCCAAGCGACAAATTTATTATTGAGTGAACAGGATCAAAAGCCCGGAAATATTCGGTGTTATCCAGATATTCTAAAAATTTCTATCACTGAGCCACAGAGACTCTACGGTGAGCGAGGTTTATTACGAAGGTCATATGACACGCGTCGTGTACACTGCTAGGAACAGCAATGTCGATAGCGTCATGTCTGTAAATAGAATAAAGTTGCCATCTTTTCTTATTCTATTTACCTAAGATTTTGTAGGTGATAGAGGGCTCTATTGGTGTTCCATCGATTAAAAAGTCGACATCGTCTTCCTCCGTTTGTCTCTGTTGGGAATTGGATCTTCTGAACATTTAAGATTCCCTTTTCTTGGCGTTTAGAAAAAGGCCCTGGAGGGATAAAATCGCTTCCTGTAGCTTTCCTGGTATTAAGTGACTTTAGTGATTTCGGCTTAAACTTTAGGTTCACTTACTAAGCTGAAGTTGAAAAATTCATCAGGAGATATTCTTCTTGATGATAGGAGTACTGGCGTAATCATTCATGCAGGTCGTTCACAGCCGGTGCGCTTATGCTAAGAGAGTACTTACTTAGGATATCTGCAATATTATTTGGTTTTTCAATGATGGTTTCGCCTTCGGTGAATTGAATAGTCTCGGACATTGCTTGGTGAAGTATCCCTCGATCTTCTCAGGCTAACAACGTGATTTTTGTGTTGTCGATAATTTTCCAATCGCTTCGATCTTTCATGACATAATCCTTGCACTTGAGTTGATTTCAAAAGTGAATAGCGGCTATAACTTCAGAGTTAAACTAAGTAGGGCGGTTAAAGTTTCGTAGTTTTCCTCTCTACCATGGAGGCATTATCATCATGCACATCCCTTGTTTTTCTCATGCCCAGTACACGTCATTGAAGTCTTTAAAGGTGCTTGTAAAGGGAAAGGAAGAAAAAGAACATCTTCTTTCTATCGTACAGAATCGAATTTCTTGAGGTTCCTTTTTATAGAGGTCTTGGGACGCCTTTAGGGGCACACAACTCTCGTAATTGCATGCACCATATGATCATTACTTATATCTGGGTTGAAAACACCTGCGTACAAGAATCCAATTCTTTTGGATGTTATAATTACGTCAATTAGAGTGTCGCTATTTTCCGCAGCTCTAGTGGGCATACCTTCAAGTCTTTTTATAATGGTAATAGGACAGAGTGGAGTCTAATTCGGTCTGTAATCATACGAGTGATTAACAAAATCGGACGACCGCGAAGCAGGAGTCCGATTAGTCAGTCACCATTTCAATCGCAATTTCCGAAAAAAAAAGGAAAAAAATGCATTTAGGACAAACATCTCCAGTAGAGACAATGTCTAAAAGCGAAAAATTTGGAAATTTCCCATTTTACTTTCCAGGGTAAGTGGTTGTCGCTATAGTTATTGAGATCAATTCTGTGGTTGGTGGATTTAGCTGAGTGGACTAAGTATGATTGGCTGCTTCAACAGTCCAATTACAGGTGTCCGATTACAGCCAACTGTCCGATTAAAACTGTACAGAGTGATTAGTGAAATATAAAGCAGCTGATGCACCGTTTACATTTGAGGAAATTGTAATGGTTATGATTAAGAATGTAATCGTCGCATAGGTTTAGCAGATGTCTCCACAACTTTGGCTCCTTGTCGGGTTTTCCAGAATGTTTCAATTCACGTCTCCAATAATATTAGTGTGTAATCGTCCGAAAACCTGCTTATCAATTCAATTGGTCGTTCCAGTTCGGATGACCAGATTTCTTTGGCCATTTTTGACGTTCTCTATAGATGAACCAAAATAGATCTCCATGAGTCCTTTTGAGTTCTGACCTCAATGGTAATTTATTCTAAACCAATGAACTGTCCTGGTATTTTCAATGCGCTTTGTTCAAAGGTCGAACCTTGCATAGATTATGAGGCCGCTTGAAATTTGTGCTATCTTGTCGATTTGGCTTCGATTCTTTAGCACAAAACTGGCTATCTGGATAGCTGTCATCGATTTTGGTGTCCGTGAGAAAAAGAATATCTAACAAATTGTTTATTAGCATGTTCTTAACCTCGAAGAGCTTGATTCTGATGATGCTGTTTGTTTCCTTGTGGTAGGAAGACGCGAGATAAACCAGCTCGAAAGTGCTGCCTAGGAGAAGAAATCATCTCTAAAACTTCGCTCATCGTAGATGGTCTTATTTCATGCGTCTCGAAATTTTTTTTTTTACATTTTTCTTCTTTTCTAGGAAAAATAATCATTCTTGAAGTTCTTTTCATTGGAGAGATCCTCAATCATTATAACAAAGTAAAAAGTGTAATAATTGACTATTTCCAAAGTACTACACTGAATCAATTTCCTTCTCTAGTAGTGAATTAAATAATTCTGGTTAGGTCAGACTTGATTGCGAATACTTCGAAATAAACTACAACATTTTTTTTTATCGTAGGTGCGATCGTCAGGCGAAAGGTTGTTCTAACTCAAGCTACAGAAACAGAAAAACCCACTATTAATTCATCTCCAAAGGTTTTCATTTATCTCACTCAAACAGAACAATGCCTTCCCTCAAACTTGGCCTCTCCTTCCGAGATCGGCGACCCCGAGACATGTAACTGTGATTTCATAGTGCTAAGCTTTCGTACTAAATGTCAAGTGCAAAAGTCGCCCCACATCACTTATCTGTTCGATCCTAATACTGGATGGGGAACAGGACGAAATGTGCTGTATTTTGCTGCAATAACGAGATCCCCAAAATACCATTATTACATTTTTATGGATGATGATGTGATGCTGCGTTTCAATTCATTTGCTCCGCCACAAATGAAGAAGCTTCCGCCGTTTAGAGTCTTCGAACAATGGCTCTTAGATTACGAGCCTGTAGTTGGCGTTTTGGATTATGGAGTTCACCATGGGGCAAGATGGATTTATGATAGACGACGGACCATATGTAAAAAAACAGACAGTCCCCTTGTGATAACATCAGTATGGTTCGATGGTATTTTCAATGCATTTCATTATAAAGCTATTGAGCATCTTTTCCCTTACCGCACGCAGTATGAAAAAAAAAGCTGGTGGTCGCTGCATAGATATATATTTACTGCTGTGGAACTGATATTTCGAGGCCAGGCATTGATGTTTGTGCCTATTACTGCGATTAATCCAACCCATCGCTCATACCCAAAGAGTTGGTTGAACATGGGAGTATACTGGAGAGATTACGTCGACACTATTCGAGCAGAAGCTCCTTTAGTTTACAGAAATCAGTCGTTATTTGACGTATTAAGGCAGAATCTTAGTGATTACATTACCAACGCGAGAACATATTGCATGAAAGTAACACGGCATCAACCCATAAAACCATACGCTCATTTTGATAGTCGAACAGAGATGTAGTTGAGGAGGTTAGTGAAGAGGTAAACAATAGTTTAACGATTTTTCCTATTCTTTCTTCTTTTAGGCCTAATCCATGGATAAAATGCAAAACCCAATTAAATTATAAGCCGCCTCGTTAGTTTATGAACTTGTTGAAGTGTAACGAAGTCTGAACAAAGAGATGTCCGTGAGGAGGAGTTCGACTGTACTGCTATCACATTGGGAATCAAACCATAGTTTACTTCTTTTCGCAGTTAGTTTATTTTAGCGAATTTAGCGGGCCTTAGTAAACTGTTCGGGCCTCTAAATTAAAATCTATTTTTCACAGTTAAGCAGCCAGGCTGCAAAGCAAGATTCAAAATGGTGACGGTCACTGTCCAATTTTTAGCACATATGACGATAAATTCTGAGAGTAAGTTTGTCCCAGGAGGGAGGGGTTGACCTTATTGTTTTCTGATATAAGCGGAAGTCAAAAATCACTGCTAGTGTGACGTCACGTAGTTTCGCATGCTTGCTCAGTTTAGCGAGAGAACGCTATTAGTAAGAAACAAACATGCAGAAGGCCATAGGCTATTATTAGGTTAATACTCACTAATTTATCCTGTGTGTGCGAGGTTTGTTGTATATATTTCCTTTGAGCTTAATTGTTTATTTTTTTGTGAAAGTGATTGTCTGCAATTTCATTGATTACAATTCCGGGCAAGTGAGATGCTATTGACTTAGGAACTTGTCAAGACTAACCAAAACTAAAGCTGTTTTCTCGCTAAGCTTTTAACAGATCGACCTCATTAAAGTAGTTTTTTCCTTATTAATAAAAATTTATACCCAATGTTATCTGGGGTCAATCTAATCATTCATTTTGTTCATCAATCCTTCAAATTTAAGTTGTTTTTTCATTTTATCACATAAACTGCGGTGTTATACAATGATTTCCGGCCCTGAGAAAAGCCGTAAAAACACACGTGAAAAAATATCATTTTTTTTCTTTTACGTGTGTTGATATAGCCAATCAGCAGCTTACACGTCATTCGCCTTTGGCGCCACTCGGTCAGGTTGATGAATGAACGGCAAAGCCATCACGATTCTCAATACAAGTTGTTTGTCAAAGCTTTCTCGAATTATGGCGGCTAAAACACAAAAAAATCCGTATCGCTGACAGACCAATATACCAATATACTAAAAGAAAAACCGAAAGTTTCGTATTTGGTGGCTTTGGTGTTAGCATTTCTCTCGGCTAAGAATGAAAATCGACAACTGGAAGATTAGCCACTGGCCGATTTTGGCCATTTACCTCAAAGACTTCTTTTGTCGGTAAGGACAAAGTCAATAAATGAGAATTTTGTGAATTGAAAATTACGACCATTGTTGTTTTTGTAGTGATGATTCAACGCATTTTTCCATCTTAACAGTCAGCGCCAACACACTTTGCGATAGTTATTCGAGGATTGTCGATTCATTAATTTTCATTCAGTAAATGAAGTCGGCTTTTCTTCCCAGTAAAGGGCTATTGTGTTTATATGATAAACAAAATAATACATGGTTGCTTGTAGATATCGAATTTCTCTTCTCGCTCACTCGTCAGCTATCGAGTTAAACACTCGAAGAGAAATTCCATGTCTACGCGCGCCCATGCATTATTCTCTATGTAACTGTGGTAATCATTCTGTCATTGTATTTCTTTTAATGAAAACACCAAGTAAGGTTCGCTTTTAAAGGATTGACCAGTCAAACCTTTTATTTTGTTTTAGCCTGCCATTTAAGTTTCTATTTACTGTACTTTTCTTTTTTTAGGAACGTTTTTACAGGATTTTCTTAAGGAAAAAGGTTAAAATACTTTGCAACTTTAGACAGGGTATTTGAAATACTCTTACTTCGTGCTGTTACCACTTTTTATTGGAATCATTCTTTACTTTGCTTGAAACAGTTGATAAATGAGTTACTTATTCAGTAACCATTCAAATTCTCACTTACAAATCATTTTTGGAGTTACTGAACTTCAAAGAGTTTTCATTGCAGCCCTCTAACCAACTGCTTTTGTTTTTCATGGCATTTGTCAAAATGGTATGCAACCTATCACTTGATATAAGAATTTCAGCTTCATTTTTCTCATGTTTCCTTGGTTCTTGCTGCTATCAGTCCTGTCATGCCATTCCTTGTGACTTTATGTTCTAACAGTAATAGTGATGGGACAAAGCTAGCGCTTTGATGCAGGCTGAAAATGCTAGAAATACCTCAGTCGTTTCTTTGTTTTGTATTCTTGTTATGTTATCATTGTGCAAGAATGGCTGAATTCTACCATCAAGGTTTTCTAATCAGCATCAATTAGTATGACTACTTCGAGATCTTGTAGTGATGCTCAGTCTCCACATTGAGAACTAAAACTAGTTACAGAATCAGCTGAATTCGGAAGCGATGTTGATTTTCACCACAATATTATGTGTCGACTGACACTATTTGTCATTCTGAAACAAATCAATAACTAGTATAATCTACTACTGCAAGACCTTGACCGCTGATGGCAACCGCTGGTGCCAACCATGAACGTTGATGTTTCTTCTCTACGTGCCTCTTTGGTCCAACCATGGACAACCGCCTTTTCAAACTAAGCTGAATGATCTTGATTTGTTTGTTGTTTGGAATATTAAATGGCCACAAGATTGGTGGTGGCAAGCGACGAAGATGTAAAAGCATTTTCTGAACAACCAGAGAATGAGAACACCAAAAAAAAAACGTGGTATAATCTACAGGTTTCCAAGGAATTCTCGAAAATTGCGACGAAACGAAGGCAAATGTTTTATTTGTCAGTGCTGAACAGATTTCAAAGGTTTGTAGTGAAAGAGGCTAGCCACAAAAGTATCTCCCGAATTCAAGTCAGAGTCAGTGGTCGAATTTTCATTAAAACTTTTTATAACTTGGGCACCAGGTATTTTGTTCCTATTAATAACCAGAATTTGCATCAAAGCCAGCTTTTTAGCCTCTACCATGTATCTTTATTGCCCATTTATTAAGAAGAAAATTATACGTTAGCTTAAAGATATGAATTTCATGCTCGCGTGGCACGAACAATATCTCACTTGTTCGCTGCTCTCACTCGTAGGATATTGTTCTTGCCAATCGAAATAACTTAGTGAAATTCAAATATTCTCGCCACCGTGTAATTTCCTCCATATATACCCTTTTTCAAAAACTTTGTGATTGGGAAATCTATAGAAAATATATAAAGCTTTTCTTTTTCCTTTAAAAGGTGTTTCTTTTTGATGGGAAATGAAAATATACTTGTTGCTTTAAATTGCAACGTTTTTGAAAACGGTTGTATATTCAATTTTCAACCATTAATAAAAGAGTTAAATGGTAGCTTGACAAATATGATATTAAAATGGATAATTGTAAAAAAAATAAATAGGTAAATGTATACATACACGCATACAAACACATGTATCTTAGTCTTGAGTAGTCAACAATAGCCTTTTGTACTACCTTTTAAAAGCTGCAGAGGAGGTACTTTCAATCCCAGGTAGAATGGTTTCCCAAATTTTAGCTAAAGCAAATTTCAATACAGCTATGCTATACTTAAGACATGCTGATGGCTGAAAGAAATTTTGGTTCTCAGCGAATCTGGTGTTAAACCAGTGAACCTCTGCTGCAAATATATGGGTATTTGATAGTGTCACTAGGATTCTACTTTAGTCATTCTTAATTTGAAAGGAATAAAGCAATGTATTGTTAGTTTGTAAATATTTTCAAACTTCAAGGTTCCAAGATGATTATAGTAAGGGTTAACAGTTGTCTGCTGTCAGAAATTATGCTTTATATACATTCGCTTCGCTTAATACAGATTTTGTTTAATTAAGTTTTGTATGCACCTCCTCAGCCGGCAAGGCCATAGTTTGAATATGTGTAGATGAGAGTGTATTATATTTTTTGGAGCAAAGAGAGGTCAGGATAATGTCTTAGCCTATTAATTATACCAACATTTTTGTTAAATTATTATTGACATGTCCCATTTTAAATGCTTATCAATGTATACACCCATGCAGATACTTAATATAACTTTTACAATCAACATTGGAGATGTTCAAATGTACTTTTATCCTTGTTGATGCTATCAGCATACAATTTGTCTTTTTGAAATTTACAGATAGTTTTTTGATCGCGCAGTACTTTGAGAATAGATTTAAGCTCTTTATGACTTTCAATGGTAAGAAAAGTGTCAGTATCATACGCAAATATTCGAAAGAAAAATGAATAAAGGGGATAAGCTTCTAAAGAAACTGTGGTGCTGCGTCGGTGGGAGAGTATAACAAGTTAATTTGGTATTATCAACTGAGTTGATAACGTAAACTGGTCACCATTAAGAGTTTCAAAGCTGACGTTTCGAGTGTTAGCCCTTAATCATTCGCTCTGTCGATATATTTTTTAAAAGTAGTGGAATATTTTGGTAAATGATCAATGGCACTGATACATATATATATTTTATTTATTTCACTCATGAAATTGATAAAACTGTGTTTTGGTAGCTCTGCTGATCATAATGTGATTTTAGCTCACAGATGTGGTGCCTTGGCCGTTTCCTTCCATTGATGATGGGCAGCCATATCCCTCGTGATGATGAGAAGTGGGGTCTCTTCTTAAATCTTTTGGAAATAGTGGACATTGTTTTTGCTGATGCAGTCACACTTGATAAAGCAGCTTACTTAAGGGATTTAATCACAGATCACCATACTAGCTTTACCCAGTTGTACCCAAATTCCTCTGTGATTCCAAAGATGCACTATATTCTTCATTACCCCAGGACAATGGTAAGGTAAGTTGGAAATTAAAAATATTTTAGCTTTTCTTTTGATGGGTGATAATTTTGTGACATAAATCTTTGTGTTATTGTTTGTGTTTTCCAGTAGTTATCTATAGTACATGTAAGGTTGATCATTGAAAAAGGAAAAAATGTAAATATGTAGCATTTTGATATTTAAGGCTTGGTCCAATGGTACGGTCCTGGACAATGAGATTTGAGGCAAAGCATGAAAGACTCAAACGGCTGGCCACATCCCTTGGCAATTTCACCAATATTCCTTGGACGCTGGCTCTTCGTCATCAGTTGAGGCAGTGCTATGAAATATCAGGCACTAAGCATGGTCATCCATCAATTGAAAAGTCTTTGGAAGTAGGCCCAGGTATTTAATTACAACCATTTTATTTTCCACTGGTCTGAAAGTATGCTGACATTCATATGTGCATGTGAATTTGCCTGTGACAATATAGACATATACTATGTGTATTTATCTAATGGGGGTCCTTACCCTTGCGAAATGGCTCTTGGAATTCCTAGGAATTCCTAGGAATAAAGGTGTGAATTTTCACGGTAAATTTGGACTGGGAATTCCTAGGAATTCCTAGGAATTCCTAGGAATTCCCAACCATAACAACTCTGGTTCTAAAAACCTAGAAATTCCTAGAAATTCTCAGAAATTCCCAGAAATTCCAAGTTTATAGCCAACAGGACTTGGAATTCCTAGGAATTCCTAGGAATTCCAACTCAGAGAACCAATGACTTTCCCTGAAAAGCTGTAAATCTAAAAAATTCCTAGGAATTTCTGGGAATTTTTGGGAATTTTTAGGAATGTTTAAGAATTACTGGGAATTTTAAGCAAAAATTTGAGGCTAATGATATAAAATAAATACTTTAAATTAAAAAAAACCCAGCTAAAATTCAAGTATTCAATGAAATTTATTTAGAAGCTTAATTAAGGCTTTCATGTAAAATATTTTTGATTAATTATTAACATCAATGTGTGGTAATAATAGGATGGAATTTGATTTATTTTTCTTTTCTTGAAAACTTCATACAGATTAATCCTCAATTACAGCTATTCATATAAAATAGTTCTAATCAATCATTAAATTTGGTTTGACACAAAATTAATTGTGAATAAAATCTGTTGATTCTTTTCCATAAAATACAATATCTTAAGTTATATTTGAAAACCAAGCACTCTTGGGAGTGAAGGGGCTAATTACAGACAAATAAAATTGATTTTTTGATTAAAATCTTGTTGTAACTGTAACAATAAATTAGAATGAAGTTATCCTAAACTGAAAACTTAGCTGCTGTTTGTACTGTTTGTATTTTTTTTCCTGGGCTCACAATGAGTTGGCCTTGAATGAGGTTGTCTACAAGAACCTTGACCATTTTGTATCTGGATTCCTTGACATCTGAATTTGAAAAAAAAATAATGTATTAAAATATGTATATTTAAAGTTCAGACCAGGCTTTTAAGATGGCTATGAGGAAAAGGGCATTCATTGGATTCTCAAATTGAGAAATCTCTGTTATATTGAGTGACTTTTATATTAGAGTTAGTACATCTCTCTCATGGATTTTACTAAAAAAGGGCTGAATACATTATTTTGTTTTTACCAAGGAGGGCTTCTTTATGTACTAAGGTTTGTTTAATAACAGTTCCTATTATAAATCTTGAATGTTCCCAAACGTGACTAGAGGAATCTTGAAACCTTATAGATAGGTTTATTTCATTGTAATTCACAAGCTTAAGAAACTGCGGCATGCAAGTGACCGATTCGATTCTCAGAATTATTCTAGTTTCAGTTGCGCCGAGCGTTATGTAAGCTTAATTCAACCCGCTACATCTATTCTTTTATAAGATTTTAATCACGTAACGAATATCGCAATTTTTACTCACCACAAACTTTCAAAATCGTAGCTTTACAGATGGCCACTCGATCCTTGTTTGTACCAGTCAATATGTCAACTGTTGTCCCTTCTTTTAACTCCACGGCGCCAACGACTTTCTTTTCTTTTACAACACTCACGCTATTCTCGTTTTCCCATTGAACCACAATAAAAGCTATCTTTAGAAATGTTATATAAAGCAAAACAGTTGAGAAAAGCGATCAACCGATGAAAAGTACATTCAAAGATGAGCGCCAAATGGAGTCTTCTTTGTTTCCCATCACGGACATGCAATTCATGCATACATATAAGATCTCTGATTGGTCGAGAGCATACAGTCAATAGACAAAAGCCGTGAGAGACCTCGGCATTGATAATGCATGATTGTGCTCAACCTCATCCAATAATCGTTTTATGTGTGTAGTATTCGTGCCACGTTGTACCTTAAGGCTGTATTGTTGAAAGGCTTTATCGTTAAGTGGAGGTATAAAGAAACAAGCGCTCTGAACTGTGTTAGGTAACTACATTGAGTAAGTTTGACTGGTTCATAGTTTTAAACCTTACCTCATACCTTAAGTGTTTCTCACAAAGCCGTATGGAAGACTGAGAAGGAATCGAAATGGCTCAAAGAATGCTTTTCATTCATTGTTTAACAATCTAGAAGCTGTTAAAATCATTTTTTCGAGTTCTGCGCAATCTTGAATTGCAAAAGCATTCTTAGAATCTGATGCTCATAGATACAATGTGGTTTATACTTGTAGGCTTTATCTCAAACCTTAACTGTTTCTCACAAAGCTGTATGGAGACTGAAAAGAGATTCAGCTCGTTGAGAAAGCTCTGAACTCGATGTTCAAAAACTTAGAACCTGTTGAAATCGTTTTTTGAGGGTCGTGTCAGCTTGAGTCGCACTCTTAGGATCTGGCCGCGGTTGTTCAAAGGATGGATAACTGCTATCCGTTGGATAAATCGCTATCCAGTGTATGAATTTAAACCATGGCGTCATATCGGTTGTTCAATGTATGAATAGCACTATCCACTCTCAATCCAGCAGATAACATCATCATGGTTAGGTAGGTAGTATAAATTTGTATCCATCGGATAGTAAAAAATTAAATGGCCGCTGCTCGAGGTTCACGGTCATTCTGTTCCGTGGTGAGATCGTTTCAAGTCAGATCGTTGTACTCAATAGTCAGCTCAATGCACAAAAAACTCAGTTCGTTCCACACATATTGCTGGATGAAAACGAACTCAAAACTGTGAATAAACAGCGTGCAAAGAAAGTCGTGTCCGATAGCCCGGGGCTAGTGGATTTGGCGATCGGGCTAGTGAATTCTGTGTTTAACTTGCCCAAAGGGCAAGTGAAGAGTTTTCAGAGAATTAAAATCACAGGAGTACTGTATGACAAATGTTTTAAATTCCTAATAAATTCATGCGGACCGAAAGTCGCTCCGAAGAAGTGAAATCTGCATAAACAAGACGAAGTATCACATTGCATGTCAGACGAGACATATTGAGATCCCGTGCATAAGTAAAAGCAGATATTGAAAAAAAATTTGGAAGTAAATGTTCCTCGTGACTAACTCTTACTAATTCAAAGAAAGCTATTTGTCTAAATTTTGCTTCATAATCATTTGTGAGGAACGTAAGCAAAAGATTTTGATCCTGAATATTACGTGCGCTTCAATATGGTAAATTCTAAACACCGATTTCGTGAGAGTTTGTTGATAAAAAAAATATATATAGACCACATCGTATTGTTTCACTTTTCACAAAAATCTTTCAGGTGGAAAGTTTCCAGAATTGAAGCGAACATTTTTGTTCTTTTGAAACCGAAAACCTTTCGTTGGTTGTAACAAGAGGAACCCCACGTTTGCATAATTTATTCACTGATGCATGACTCGGCCCTTACACTTTCCACTTTCCAGTGAACTTGAAACTTGACTTGGAAAACCGACTCCCAAACAAACCTTCTTCAGAAAAATGATCTTCTGAATGCACTTCTTTTGAATAAAAAGCAAACTGATGAAAGCGATCAAATTTTTACCCCCTATAATAATATGAATATCTCCCCTGTCAGCTACGCTTCATTCTCTAATTTGCCGCCAAAAAAAATTTCCAGCCGAAGTATTTCTTAGCAGCTGACAGGGGAGATATCGTTGTCGTTTAGTGTGCCCATTGAGAGCTTTGGTTTCACGGTTTCAGCGCCGTTTCTTTCTTAAAAATGTGTCTCCAGGGTGCAAAGAAAGTCGGTTTCACAGCTTGCCCTTCGGGCATGCTGTAACTATCATCCACTAGCCAATGGACACACTAAACGACAACGTCGACAACGTCGACAACGCTTTGCACCTTGGAAACACATTGTGTCCGGTGTCCAGCCGTCTCATGGCAGAAATCACCAGAAACCGCAACGGAAACACAAGGAGTGTAAAATGTTCGGAATATTTAGCGTTGTAAATCGACCATATTTGGTTTCCCACACTATTCCGTATAACGTATTAAGTCAACGGTTCCTCGCGAAATCAAGCACCGCGTAACACAACGCGTGACGCTTTCATGAATAAATACATATGTGTCCGAGAATTAATCATTCGTCTTTTTCGAGATGTGAGCTTGGGACGCCTCTGCCCAAACTCCTTAATTGCAAGCGCAACAACACCCCAGCACCCCGGGGTTGTAAGGTTGCATGTAAACGTGTTTTATTTTTCGACCACGGCTAGGCGGGTTACCTCACCTACCTGGGGTCCCCCACCTCCATGTAAACAGGTCCTAAGATAGGATTTTTAAGATCTATAATTACAAGTTACGCGAAGCCGAGTGCGCTCAAAACGTGAGATGAATCATAGGAAACAATTATATTATTTTAACGAAAACTGAGAATTATCTTAGCGCCGAATGTAAGAAAGACGTAAGGGAGCTAGTCGACATAGCCCTTCGTCAATCGCTCTGACGAAGGGCTAACGCTCCAAACGTCAGCTTTTAAACTCTTTACGGTGGCAAATTCACGTCAACTCAGTTGTCAAAAGAGAAACATAACCGTTTGTCTCCCGATGTGGTCACTTCGGATGTGGATTGCGATGTAAAACCAGTCGCTATTTTGAGACGCCGATACCGCATTATATTGGCGGCTGGCTAGTTGGGAGAAAAGATATTGGCAATTTTTATGCTAGAGACGTTAAAGTTGTCTAAGAAGTTAAAGTCGTCTCAAGATGACTTTAACGTCTTAGACAACTTTAACGTCTCTAGCATAAAAACTGCCATTGTCCCATTGAGCTTCGTCGCTACACGACTCTTCCCAACACTACAATATATTTCCCCTCGACTAACCACCGATACAATGCAATAATGGCGTCTCAAAATCGCGATTTTTATTAGATTACATCCTCTTTGCGATGAACTTATATTTTCTACCACAGGAGTAAGTATTTTTATTTTCCGCAGGTTTGAACGTTCATGACGGGATAACTTTAAACAGAACCAAAATGATCTTTACAACGAGAGGTAAAGGTAGAATTGTTTCGATTTTTATCCTTGGTTTGACCACGTTTCTCTTGTACGCCTCATACCAAGCAAAGTTCGGACAAGAAATTAGCCAGGCCACTCACAGCAACAGCATAGTGGGTAAGTCAACGAGTTGGAAATGATTAAGAGTAAATGTCAGTAAAAATCAAGGAAAATTAAAAAAAAGTGGCCACGGTCAAAAAATCGATTTCGCTCATACTTTGTCAGTTTGAAGGCCTAGTTAAGTGACTGAAGGATATGAGGTTAGTTTTTTGAAATATTCCATATAACGGCAGAAAACCACGAAAAACGGTCACCCTACCGGAAGCTCGGATTTCACCTAACGGAAACTCGAAATTTTACACTTTTCAGCTTCTCGCTACACAGACGTTTACATAGCTGTGAATCTTTCTTAAGTATATTTGAATACATTGATTCTTCCTTAGTCAAATCATGGGAATTATTTTTATCTCTGCTTATTTGTGAGCGAACTGAGACCCGATTAAGAAGACACACTTTTCTCATTTACGCGAAGGTGTAAAATAATCCAAACTCAGCGACGAAAAAAGCTGACCGGTAGTTCTTCAAATCCTCTGATATTATAACCAAAGACAGTTCAGTCATTGATTTTTAGGTCTACGGTTTTAAATCTTTAGGATCTAGTAGCACTTTTGCATGAACGCCGATCAAAATTCGATAAAATTCCAATTGAGCGCCTTTGAAATCTACAACTCTACATAACAAAGCACTATTGAATAAATTAACTCCTCGGCCAAAGTTTGTACATAAAACATAAGGGTTTTGCTTTTTTAGCGGTTTGAAGCGTTTTAAAAATATATATTAATGTTAAATATTGTCTACACAGGTAAAACAAACAATGAAACACCAAAATTACCACGAGCTGAAATTAAATCTCACAGGCTCGCTCCCTAATCTGCGTCACGCACGAGCGACTTAGCGACAATTAGTACAGTAACAAACAGATATTTACATCCGTTGATTTTAAATAAGTCGTATTTTTAAAATATCTTACTCAAAGATATGCCAGGTTTCCCAGTTAACTTGCTGAAAAAAAAAAGAAAACCTTGATAGTAATTCTAGCTCAATTAGAATTGATTTTATTTAGTATGAGAAGTTTTGTGCCGTCGAAAACCAATTGGAAGTAACTGTTTCCACGAAAAGCAAATATTGCATCGTTCTCTAAATAAACAAATCTACTTAACCGTATTACCAGAGTATGTTGTTGGCGAAGTTAATAGACATACATAACAACGACGTCTTGCTCGTTCTTGAATATTGTCGGTGGGATTTGCGGCGCAGACGAACGCACTTGCTAAGTAACTTCCAATGGCTAATTTCTACCCTTACTCAGCTTTCGTCACACTTCTCACGCTGTGTAACAAGGATATAAAACATCGCACGAAGTCCTAAAAAACTCTCCGAACTTGAACCAGAATTGATTTTAGCGAGATTGCGTGTTTTTAAAAGCCAACGAGTTTATTGGAGATGACTACCCGTACCGTCTCATCGTGTCACTTGGGCATAACCTGACACGATGTCGATAGTTTCGACTCCTGATGGCCAAGAGCACTCAGATTTCTTTTTTCCCGAGTACGCCTGTGTCACTTACTGAATAATACATCATTCTCATTTATTCACCAGGCTTAAAAATATTCCATCACATTTATTCCATTGCGCGTATGCCACACATGACATTCCAATCCTAGCAGTATGCAGGATGTTTGTCCCATGAAGCACTCGAATTTTTTTTCCCATTATGCCTGTGTCACTTACTGAGTAATACATCATGTTCAAAAGTATTAATTTTTGCACCATACAGGAAGTTGTTTCGGTTCACTCAGCAAGAGCTGTGAAAAGTAGCCGCACTGGAATAGGAATATATTTTTTCCAATCCATGAAGATATTTGACCTTTCAAAATAGCTCGTCCCTATGGGCTCAGGTAAATAACAACTAAAAAATGTACTACCAAGCAGGAACTGTCTCCAATGAGTTTTGTATCCTCTTCATTCTGTTGTCCAATGCGACTATTAAAAACACTATGAGTTTTACGACTTGCATGTTTTATTGATTGCGCTTGTCAAACAACACTACAGTCTGTCATTGATAGAGAAAATAAAGTTTAATTTTGACAATATTCGATGAAAAATACTAAGAATTTTCCAAAGAGGGCACCGAAGAATAAATAATGTGCACTGTCATTTTTACGACATTTAAAAAGGAGGGAAGGGGGTGGGGGAAAGGATTTAACAACCATACTACTCTCTCTCCCCAACCACCCACAAAGTGCACAGTTTGCACAGTATACTGGTGGAAACGTCACATCAACATTTATATGTTTACGTTTAATAGCACAATTACGGTCGTTGCATCACTCCAATATGGCCATTTCCCCACAAAACTATATTTAAGTAGATCTTTGATCAATCTTGTACGTCAAGCTTTGTTACTTTGAATTTTTCTTGGCTTCTTGCGGAGACAATTTCAAACTTTTTAGCCCTAAAACTTTGAATGGATATACAACTGTAATTAGCTTACATTACGGACTGGTTGGCTGGTTTAATTCGGTGGCAGCCTTGAGGTGGTCGCCATACCATTAGTGTATCTACCTCTTCACTGAACACACTTTTAAAAAAAGATAACGATCAAATGAAACGATTTTTTCGAAAGAAAATAAATGATGTTATCTTGTATACAATTATGCGCAAGGCATAATTAGTCAACAGAAAACAGTTTATTAATCTGCTTATGAGGTACAGCCGCACTCGCCTACAAGCTTTGAAAGACGACTAATAAACGGATTCTTTCGTCTTTGTGTTATATTAGAGACGTCCACACCAAGTTCATCGCAAATACTGCGCAGCATGTCCACACTCAGTGACATCAGCTTTTTCTTGCCCATGCGCATGAGTTCACAGATGTTGTAACCCGAAGACGATACAATGGGGTGCTGAAGGAAACCTCTCTCATCACTTGCACGCAGATTTCAGATTG